GCAAGACTATTTCTGTTTTGGAATTTTCCTTGCCTTATCAGTCATTTTTCTATAGAAATTAAACTTCTTTGTTTAATTTAAATATTACAAGCTTAATTTACAGTTGAGCTGGTTATCTGCACTTACGTAGTATAGGTAGTCTTTCTCAAATTGGTACAAGTGCACAAAAAAACCCCATAAACCATGAAAAAGTTGTCGTTGCCTGTTTTTTGTAATGCAACAAATCATATAAGTAATTTTTTTTGTTTTTACTTTACGTGTATAAATATTTTCTGCCATCCCGCTGCATACATTTCTGCCGGCCTGCAATGACAACTTGTCTTGATTAATATGATTCTTTTTATCACACACTGATTATTGTATCAAAGCCATCTTTGTGGCTGCAATGATGGTAGAAATTTTTGAGTGTCAGTTTCACCTGACTTTGACAAGTCCTACAAAAGGCTCAAAAACTGCAGATGCAGTTAAGTTTCAGATTTGAAAAATAGCTTTGGACGTGGTAAATGTTTACATTTGCAAATCCTCCACTCATGAATTTGCACGGTTTGGTCGTTAGAAATGAACATCTATTGATTAAGACAAACACACAAAAAAGATTTAAACACCTCCGGCTGAATTGCGAATGCAAATCACTTCGCATCTTCTTTGAGGATCTGCTCTGCAAGAACAAACACATTTGCATTGTTTGAAAATCAGGCCTATAATGTGGTGGCTTTGAGAATGTAGCTAAAGCAGCTTCAGTGGACATGTTTAACAGGTCCAATGTTCTGTCTAGAGCTGTTTAAACTGTCACATTAAGGGAAGAAATCTTTCCAGACAGTTTTCATCTGCTCTAGGAAGGAAATGGATCCTGCAGGCAAAAAACTGGCAGCACTAATCTTGTTCACAATTTAGGAAAGTGGATGCTGCAGAATGATTTGCATGCTGAAGTAAAGGCATTTCTGGATGAAAATATCTGTAAAAGTGCTGATTTCTTAACTGATTTTATCTAACAAGGAGTCAATAAATTTACCAAATTCACAAGCATGTTTTTTATCTATTTCTTTATGTGCCTTACCCACAGGGTTGTCCCAGCCTCGGCCTCCGGAGCCCCAACACCTGTGACTCTTCTCTTCCTCTCTTTGACCAGCAGCCATAGCTCACAGTGGCGAGGCCAGGGACAATGGGACGCAAGCTGGACCTATCGGGGCTAACAGATGACGAGGCCGAGCATGTGCTGAAAGTGGTCCAGCGTGACATGAAGCTGCGAAAAAAAGAGGAGGAGAGGCTGAGGTGAGATGACATTCTCCTGCCTGTTTTTTTTTTTTTTTTTTAACATTTGACACTTTGAGAAGGATCTGACAAAAGCGGATAGAGGAGAGATGTCAGCCATCTGCGAGCTAAAATAATCAGATAAAGTGACGATCAGCTGGCTTGTGTTCTGGTGATCTTGCATCATAACTGTTTGTTTCCATTGGTATTTCATTGTCGGGTGTATTGACAGC